AGCGGCGACGTCGCAATAGCTCGGTCTGCTCCGGTTAAGGTCCCCATCGCAGGTTCGTTTCCTTAGACTTTTGTTTCCCGTCGTTCCTCGTCTCAGCCCTTCACAAACTTCCACCATCTCTTTACTCTTTCTTGACTCCTTGCTGGTGGCTATTGTAGACTTGTTTTGCAAGGGATCGATATCAGTCTCATCGCTCTTTATCACATACATCCCGCCAAGAAGAGACTCACCACACTTGTTGCTTTTCCGCTCAAAAACTCAAGCCCTCTCTCAACCTTGTCTCGATCCAGAATCCACTCCACCGGAGCTCTGCCCTGTCACTGATCTGGGCAGCTCGCCCATCCTGGCCTCCCTCTTCGGGACGTTATTACTGCTGGGCCCCTGATCTTGTGACGGATCAATTGCTTGGGGCCGCGAATAAGGATCGTCGCCCTTGTCCATCACCCAACGCTGCCTCCACAACGTGAGCACTTTCATTCGGAAAAGACGCGACATGGCACGTATGCAATAACCACTGCCGCTCTTCCTCTCTTTTCACGACACCATTGTTCCTGCTCGGTCGCCTTCTACGCCTCCGAGTGCTCGACGTTGGAGCCGTGGCAAGCACTTTTCACCAATTGTTCAATTTTCTCGAACTGGTTCTTCCTTCATTTCGCATAGCCATACTCGTTCGATTGTTGACCTGGACGTCTATTGCCGGGATTGGGCCCATTCTATCACTCTCTGTGCATAGCTCACAGCTTTTTTATGCCCTTCTTTTGTTCTGTATGCCCCTCACCAACCCCTCCATCTCGCTTCGAAGGTCGATCCGACTAACCAACGTAGTTTCTTGATACCCTCTTCGTAACGCAACCATGGTGTCTTTTTTCGGGCTGAAACTCGGGGCCGATAAGAAAAAGTGCGCTCCCAGCCCTCTGTCCTGGATCTGCAAACTGACTTTGTGAAGGAAACCTGCTGAGAAGGCTGAGATGAAGCCTCAATGGAAGAAAATTGACCAAAACACGCTTGGTCAAGGGCAATTCTTCGGAAAAGATCTGGACCGTCCCATTCTCATCAACGGATCTCGCCCCGGCACAGCCATGTCGAATAAAAGTTTCGCCGCCAACTTCCGTCATCCGAATGCGCCGTACCTCAATGGCGGCTCATCTTCCCTAGTCGATCTGGGTGCACCCGGCGTCAAGGGTATTCGGCCTGTTGGATCTGAGGCAAACTTGAATATGCGTTGGAACAACACTTCTGTGACCAGCTTGAACAACATCGCATCTCCACCGATCATCACCGGTGGCAATGGATCAGGAAGCAGACCAGGAACACCAAACTCGACCCGGGCCAAGGCTTGGGTCAACCCTCTCGACGTTCACTTTGCTCGAGATGGTGCTGGCCCTAGGAGCGATGGAGCTCTCAGCCCGGCACCGAGTGCTGCACCAAGCGGTTATCACTCTCCGAACAATATATCGCCTCTGCCTACACCGACCGCAGCCAACGCACCTCGAAGCCCACTTGGGCAGTTCGAATTCAACCTGAACCCATCAGAGTCGTCGAAAGATGACAAACTGACTCCAGCTCCGTTGTCGCCCAACAAGGCCTTACCTTCGCCTCCTCAATCCATCAATGGTTCGCTCCCGCCATTGAGGACAGATCTCAGACCGAAGACAGCAGTCACTGCTGTTCGTGAAGCTCACAGGCCGCGGCCGGCCGCACTCCCGTCCCCAACCGCGTCGGCAGGACGTTCCAGCGACGAGGACCATTTCTACCCCAGGCCAATCATCCAGAATGTTGCCGCGAAGAGGGACACCCTCACTATCACCACCCCAAGAAGGCAGAGCTTCTCCATGGATATCGACAATGATCCTACCGGACTCGACTTTGGTATGGCGGAACGAGGACGAACACTAGAGCGGGAAAGCCCGATTATTCCGATAAGTCCTGTTATACCAGTTAGCCCACCACCAAGAAGCGCCAGGCGACCGCGCCCGCCAGAAATGAAAATCCTGCCGGAACCTCCCAGGAGCGCTGGCTTGCCGCCCCCCAGACCGCAGCAGGTACCATATGAAGGACCGCTGCGGAGTCCTGCCCGGCCTCTGGACGATTGGCCCCCTGCGAGACAGCGTCAGGATTCGGATGCTCGAGAAATGGTCTCTCCGACCAGAGACGGGGAGCGTGGCCAGTACGATAGCCGTGAACGACAAGGTCCAGAACTCAGAGAGAGGAAAGACTCTGGTGGCCGATCTCGCGATGATCTTCCTTCCCCTCCACAGGGATACCTTGGACCCCCGCCGACCTCGAGACGGGTCGCGCCAGGTGAGGGCGAGCGGAACTACGGTGTCACACCTGCAAACCGTCGACAGCCTCCGCCGCCCGTCGAGCTTCAGCGCAAGGCGTCAAACCCGCAGCAATATCAGCCTCCTAGCTGGGATGATCGGGACGTCCACCACGGAAACTTTGCAATGGTGTCACCTCGCATGCAGTCGCCGCAGCCGCCCACACCGAACAGCTTGATTCCCGAGGCCTCCAACGACGCGAACTGGCCGTTGCCGAGCCCGTTGGCAAGCCCAACGTTCGGAAGCCAGAGACCGCAGACGCCGAAAGAAAAGGCAGAGGCTCAGCAAATGAGTCCACCTCCAGTGCTTCCTCCGCCTCGTGAGCGAGGTGACGCGAGACGGCCAGACTTTGGACTAAGGGCCCCAACTGGTATTGCAGATGAATTCCGAGTAGGGTTCATCTAGACTTTCAGGAAGGTGTTAGCAATTCGTGCATCCCATCACGCCGCCGCAGTACATAAGACACACCAAGAGACAGGGTACATCTCGGGAAACTGGAGTTTGAGGACGGAGGGCGGAATTATTGCTTGGGTTTTTTTCCTTTGTTGGATCATTTAATGCTGGTTGGAGAAACAGAATGGCGAACGGAGCGATGTTTAACGTTGGAGTTTGGTTCCTGAGGTAGTCATCAAATGATAATGTAATCATTCCAATTCAGGCCAGGACGGTCGTGGCTTCCATTTTCCAGTGCCATCTTAGGTACATCTAGGAACCTGAATTGAGGTACCTGCATTCGGTATCCTTTGACGGATCCCAAGGTGGAAGCACCGGCCGGGCGACAGGTAACTTTACGGCATCTCGTCCCTTTCCGAGGGGCGTGGCTCCTTCCTGTTTTCCACCACCACGCACTAGGGGTGCTGGGGTCAACCGTGAAGAGAGAACGATGGCAAGCTTGTAATTCTCAGAGAACACGCTCTCTGATCGTCTCATGCTAACGTGCTCAGCAGAAGACATCGGACCGGCCTTGTGAGACGCGAGCTTTCGGCCTCGTTTCTTCCCGACTCGACTGCGGGACTGCCAACCGCGGTGGGGCATCATCGCAGGGATCTCTACGCTAAGAGGTAAGTATAACCTACAGGTAGAAAATCTTCAACAGCGGCGGACATAGCTCAGTTGGGAGAGCGTCAGACTGAAGTCAACTTCAATCACTTAATCTGAAGGTCGTGTGTTCAATCCACACTGGCCGCACATTCCTTTTGAATTTTGTTCCTTTTGACATCCGGATCGCTTTGTTTGTGATGGCCAGCAGACAGCATACCGGTTTTGAGTGGTAAAGTTTAGCATACGTTTTGTTTGCTTTTTTTTCTCCCGCTTGCTCTGATGATAAATTGACCGTCTTAGACTTCGTACCCGTTTGGCCCGTGCTCTTTGCCGGCAACGTCGTGAGCCTTCCTCACAGCGACATGGAACAAAATAAAATTGAGAACTTCTGCCTTGCATCACAACCTCCGGAACGAATGGGAAACTAACGTACGGATATAACACGCTGTCCGTCATTCTGCTGTTTCTGGCAGCGGCATTTATGTAAAGTTTCACGCCTAGCCACTGAGAGAGCGTTCATGAGCGCAAACTCGTCATCCATACCATTTCCTAACTAGCCCCGGCTTGCACGACATATTCCATTCGCATCTTCATACAAGCCAAGTCGAGATCTTCCAGACCCGCGACAAACCACAATAGGCGCCCCCGGGCAGCACCCACATTACGTGTAGATCGGACTACGCAACGCCTCTGGCTCAGCTGTCACAGCTCAGTCGAAACAGGGGAAAATGCGGGGGGCTAAGGAGCGAAGTAACGTCAGAGAACCGTGAGGCTCTCTCTCTCTCAAGTCAGTACTCCGGGAAGAGAGCTCTCTCTCCCCATCTTCCGCCTCTTCTCAGGAGCCAGCGCATCCGTGATTCGACTCCTTGCTCCCGCCCACCGCATCTGGAGGCCTGGGCGACTCGGTAGACATGGGTTTCCAAAACATGTCCCGCTGCACGCTCAACACCCGGCCGACGATGGGCGGGTCCGGGTTCGCCTTCCTTCTCCCCAGAAAAATAGCCATGAATTGAAGCTTATAGACGCCTCATCAAGGGGGGTCAGACAAGGCTGGTCGCGTGAGGTTCGGTGGCTCTGGATTGGTTCGTTTAAATTGTTTGCCTTGTTACGGAGTACTTTTAAGGTATCCAAGGTTTTCCATCACACCCGGCCAGGGGAGACGAGGTAGGTGTCTCCATCCAATAAGGGCGGAAGAAGAAAAAGAAACCCCATGCCCGTGTTTGAGATTTTCCGGACGACGGGCATGCCATCTAAACTTCCGATGTAGCGGAATGCTTGTCGTTGGTATTGGCCAAGATCGGATGTCTGACGCCCAGCCGTCTGGTCTCCTGGGCGTGAGTGATTGACGCTCTTGCTTGGGCTGGTGAACTTCTTGTTGGCCCGTCTGATGGGACAGCACTTGTGGGCGAAATGGACGGGAAGTATAAGGATCGGGACCATTCTTCGAGCCGAGCATGATCATTTCCTTTCCCTCCTCAGTCACTGTGTGATCCAAGTCGGTGCTCTCTTTCTTGTTTGTAACCTTCATTCCAGTGCTGTGCACTTTTTCGATTCGGCCAATCCCATCTTTATCCAACCTTCCTATTATCCTCCTCCTTCTTTCCTAGGTATCTATAGGAAAGCGGCGCATACCTCAAGATGCGTTACACAACCATCACTCTCCTTGTTATTGGTCTTCTCACAGGCAATGCCTTGACTGGTAAGTCATTCGCTCAGCATTCCTCTATGCATCCTCCTCTCAAGAGAGACTTTGCAAGACTGACATGGATTCCGTACAGCACCTGCTCCTCAATTCGGTGGCGGCGGCGGCGGCTTCGGAGGTGGCCGTGGTGGTGGCGGTGGTGGTAGAGGTGCCGTAGGTGGTGCAGGCGGCGGCGGTGGCGGCCGAGGAGGCTTCGGCGGTGGTGGCGCCGGTGCTGGTGCTGGTGCTGGTGCCGGAGCCGGAGCTGGTGCTGCTGGTGCCGGCGGTGCTGGAGGAGCTGGCCGTGGAGGCGGCGGTGGCGGTGCCGGCGGCGGCAACAGAGGTCAGAACGCCGGCCAAAACGGAGCCGGCAACAACGCCGGCAACAACAATGCCAATGCCGGCAACGCCAACGCCGGCCAGAACAACAATAACAACAACCAGGACAACGCCGCTGCGGACGATGCCGCGGCTGATGCCAACAATGGCAACGCGAACAACAATAACAACAACCAGAACAACCAGAACAATGGCAACAACAACAATAACAACCAGGACAACGCAAATGACAATGCGAACGCCGACGACAACGCCGATCAAGCAGCGGACGCCGACGCGGCGGCCGACTTTGTTGGCCTGGCTTGCACCGATGGAACTGGTGCTGGCGCTTGCCAAGCAGACGGCCAGTGCGATGTCAATGGCGACATCAAGGTTGTCGCGGGTCAGTGTGGCCAGGCCGCTGCCGATGCCTAAAAGCAGGCGGTGTTACTATTGTTGCGAGTAGCCAGGCGGTTAGTTAATGGAGGAGGTTTCTGTATATCGTATCGCGGCTCTCACATAGTGATCCTGAAAGCCCAATAGTGTTGAATATAGATGTGGATTGGAAGAAAAAAAAGAGCTCACCACCGGTGTGGCTACATCTCTTGGTGCCCATGCTGGGAAATATTGGCGCTCATGTGGGGATTCGACCTCGGATACTTGTATGCGCTGAGTCTGTCGTCGAGCAGCTGGTTGGCGTATTTATTGATTGTTGACCATAAACCATTCCACCATCCAGCCAGTTTGTCCTGACCAGTCAACCTAGACGGACGCTTTCTGGCTGGTGAGAGGAGTGGAATTGAGGGGACCCAAATGGGACTTCCTGTGTATATTCAGATGATGGAAGACGTTGGCATCCAGACATCATCCCGCCTTTCTTCGGCCGCTCACTCGACACTGGCAGTATTTTCATGTTAATCTCGTTGAGCTGCAGTCAGGGGTGCTTCTGATACGCACAGTCTGGATGCCTTTAAATATGCTGATTCGAGAAGAGTGGTATTACAAGACTTGCGTCCCCGTCGTCTAAGTGAGTTCTTGTTCTACATAGTGTACAATCTGAAAGCCTTTCTAGCTCAGATAAATCTTGATGGCCTCGTAACAGCCAATATACAACCCACCCCCAAAACCCGCCGCCAAAACCGTTACCGTGGCCCCTCTAAACAACCCTCGAACACCTTCTTTCAGGACAATCCCCCTGGCCACCGCAATCGGACCAATCTTTGCACGAGGAGAACTACTCGACGTCTTTGACGAACCGTTCTCGCCAGTCACGTCTCCGCCAGCCGCGAGCCTCATCCTCGTCTTGACGACATCGATAGGCACAAACAAACTCGACGACGCGCTGCCGGCAGCAGCAGCGCACAGCCCACTCGCGAGAACCTGCTGCGACGCACTCCTGTCCTGAGCCTTCCCCTCCCCTCCGAGGAAACGTTCCTTGAGAGTCTCGTAAAGACAAAACGTCAACGTGGTATTGGGCAAATCACTTGCCACAAGTGCCGTATACCCAGCCCACAACTTGGTCGGCTGCTTCGCGAAACGCCTCAACGTGTTCATCGTCGGAGACGTACCACTGCCGCCTCCCATTGACTGAGGAGAATCTCTCCGATATACCTGCGCATTCTGCTTCAACACCTCGGCAGGATTCGTAATAGCACAGCTAACAAGACTCGCCGCCGCGCCGCTCGCCCCGTACAAGACAGGCAACGGCACGTCCGCAAAACGGCCCTCCTCTTTGGCGCGCAGCGAGTAACCCTTGAGCCCCTCGTAAATCGTGAAGAAGGCCGCCGACGACGGTATGCTGGTGATGATGGTGGGGCCGAACCCCTGGTACAGCCCGAGGAAGAGCGTCCGGCTGACGGCGCCGTTGACGGATTTGTATTGCGTTGTGTACATTGGCGATTGCATCCGCGTGATGAGCGTGTCCATGGGATGAATGAGAAAGTCTACACTCAATGTGGCTCCCGCTGCGGCCTGCAAGTTTCTGTTAGTGGAGTCCTGTGATGGAAAGCTTCTGAAGGTTCTCAAAATGGCTGATTGCGGGATGAACTAACCGCGACGACCGCCTCCATCCCGATGGCAGACGACATTTTGGCCACCAAATGCTACAGAGCAATGAAGGGCTTCTTGGTTCATGAGAAGTTTCGATTGCGATGCATTTTTTTTTATTACTTCTCCCCCCCTGATGCGCACGTGGTTTCTAGATACCAAGTTACAATTCGTAGCGCGCGTTGATAAAATCTTGACTTTTTTTGGTGCCTCAGTGTCTACAAGGCAGCGGTGCCCGAGGATTCCGCGCCACCCGCCTGAAATTTCAGGTCTGCCCTGGCACAATCAGCGATAGAATCAATTCAGGACGTTGGTGATCGATATGACGAATAAGTAAAAGCGCATACTCAGGACTGAGAATAGTAAAACTATTTGTCCACTCGCTGCCCACGAAAACTACTCATCGTCTGGTCCGTTTTTCCCAGTCACGTATGCCTTTACCCGCTACTCACCGAGGACGGTATCATTCATTCGGGACGAAAGGACTTAGTATGATATCGTCCCAAATACCGCGATACTCGCGACTGAGGGAGCTCAATTCTTATTGAAAGAAGATAAGCCACCGGCAATTGGCAAGCTGAAGTTGCCGGATGTGGTCAATCTCAGACTGCTCATCCACTCCGCCGATAGCTTCGATTGGGGGGACAGGAATCTCTTGGACTGCATGTAGCCACAAAGTGTCGGAAAGGACCACTTCTTTGCCGGTATGCAGGATCAAATTCTTGCACTCGATTGTCTTTGCCTGCATTGTCCAGATGAGCGGCTTTGATGATCAAAGGCCTTTCAATCAAAGGAATATGGGTAGATCAGTCGAACATTCATAACATGTGGTAACTAAACAATGGAAGTGATTCAGCAACAATGGTCTTGTCTTAGGTACGCATCCTTTAGTCTATATAATGCCTTCTTTCTTGCTCACTGAGATATCACTCTACATCTCAAACCATTAAAACCAACCCGCAGCGTGATAACGTGCACTACACAACTTGTTATCATAACAACCCCAGCTAAACAGAAACCATGTGCGGCATCAAACAAATCGTCGACCAGTGCAGGACCTGCTACGGCATTATCTCCAAAGAAGAGATCCCCACCATATGCCACAAGAGAACGTGGACATTGCCCGAAACCTTCGGACACGCAAAGGCATACTGTCCAGACCAAGGAAGGGTATACCTCGACAAGAAGCCAAGAATCAACCAGTGCCCGGTGTGTTACTGGGACTCATTAGATATCACAAAGGGGTTGGATATGCCCTGCCACCAGCGATCAGAGAGCAGTCTGGGCACTCGCTCGCTGTCGCACGGTCTGAACCAAACCCGATCGACGAGCCCTTGGCAGAACACCAGTGTCCTCAATTTACCGGCTGAGAAGGAGCCAAAAAGTGTGGCTGGGAAGGTGAAGGGGTTCTTCGGTAAGTGTCTTTTCAAGGTGATTCCTGGGTTCGATAGGTCCTCGCAGTCTCCTTCGTCTTGGGCGGCACTCGATCAATGGGAGGATATTTGTGGTGATGAGGGTATTACGGACAAGAAGAAGAAAAAGAAAAAGGATGCGTCTATACCAACAGCGACGAGGGTGTAAGTACTTTAGAAAAATGAGATGAATGCCTTGCCTCTTGTCACACCATCTCTCCAGCACAAAAAGTAGAAGTCATTTTGCATTTCTCATTACAATACGGACGGGTGTGTATGACGTTTTCTGCTTGCATATCTGACGGCTAGCCTCTTCAAAAATCGAACTGACTCTGCCGGATGAGGTATTGTATGGACTCTGTGGAAGTGATGCTCCAAACTATGATATGAAGTTGGCATCTCCTCACATGATCACCCAGACAGTCATTACATACTGTCCATCTATAATGAAGACCTGGTCACTGACCAAGGTGACTACCTGCATCGGTCCCGGATCGGCACCAGCGAGATCAACACACCCAATCATCAACCGCCGAGGCTCGCAAAGGGTGCGTTCGTCCCATCAAGCAGGCACAGAGCCAGAACGACAAATCAATAAAGTGACGGGCTCGTGTAGTTGCAGATACACCGCGAATCTGTGATGGTAAACCCGAATACGAGATGTGAACAGGGGGTAATCATCCGTATTCGCACCGACTTGCAACCATCGTGCACTCATGATTCAAATGCGCTACAACCTCATGGCTCCAGCGCAGAGCTGTGATCTGCAGCCAAAGGCCGTCATCCATGACCAGAATTGAGCATCGCTTAGGAAATTGTCTGCCTAGAGTAGACGATAAGACAATGAGGTTCCTCAGACATCGATACTTAGCTCAAGAGGGGCATTGGCGACTGTGACCTACCCTGCGTCGAGCGTCGATTCTACCAAAAGTCCCATAGAAGCACATGGCAATGAAGAATTCATCCTCATGATAAGCACAGCGACATATGCAGCAAGTCAGGGTCAATGAACCGTGCCGCACGGGATGATCCCAGGCCAGATACCCGGGCCTTCTGAACCATAAGTAGTGGGGTGGAAGCGAACCGGGAAGCGGGGTGGGATTCACATGAAGATTTCGCGGGGAAGCTTCCATGAGATAGGGTAGGTAGTCCAACCATAAGCAAGAGAATATGACAAGAAAAACAAGACAAGCTAAATTCTTATGTACTCTTACGAATAAATGTACGGACCCAAACCGAATACGATGGCACACCTCAAAGTCTCAGGGGTAAGAAGAGAAAGCGCCCTGGAGCGATCCACGGGCACGTCCACGGCGCCAAAGTCAGCGCCCAATCGAGACGTCTGTTTTCTACTTTCCCCCACCAAGGATCGCCCCGCAACTGCCCCTCCTTCCCGTCTGACGATGCAGAGCTCTACATAAATGGCCCACGGCGGCGACCTTCAATGACGCATGTGGAGGAGCTCTCACTCATTAGAAATCAAGAGCCTCTAAGACATCCTCACTCACTCTCACTCTCACTTACAACTCACTCACGACTCACGACTCAATCACGCAATCGACCTCACCACTTTATCAATCTTATCTAAGCTTAAAACTTTTGCCAAAGTTAAAGCAGCAGAACCAAACCTTCAAGGTCTCATCCCGCAATCTATCCGCACTCGGGCCAAGCCCCTCTCCTCTCTCAACCAAACACAGACACCTGTCACACAACTCACACACACAATGGCGACCCGCCTCCCCGGCACGACCGTAATCGTCACCGGCTCCGGCGGCGGCCTAGGCAAAGCCATCGCCGAAGCCTACCTCGTCGCCGGCGCCAACGTCGTGATCTCCGACATCAACGAGGACCGCGTCGCCACCGTCACCTCGGAATACCGAGACACCTACGCCGGCAAGCTCCACGGCATCGTCGTCGACGTCACCTCCGAAGACTCCGTCCAGTCCCTCATCAAGGGCACCGTAGAACGCTTCGGCCGCCTCGACGTCGTCGTCAACAACGCCGGCGTCATGGACAAGTTCGACCCCGCCGGCGACTGCACAAAGGAGACCTGGGACCGCGTCCTCGCCATCAACCTCACGGGTCCCTTCCTGACGACAAAGTACGCCGTCAACCAGTTCCTCGCCCAGGGCGGCGCCAGCGGCAGCGGCGGGCCCGCGGGCCTGATTGTCAATATCGGCTCCAACGCCAGCTACCGCGGCCTCGCTTCCGGCATCGCCTACACGGCGTCCAAGCACGGCGTCATGGCCGTCACCAAGAACACGGCGGGCTTCTACGGCGACAAGGGCATCTACTCGGTCGCGCTGCTGCTCGGCGGCATGGACACCACCAACATTATGGACGCCTTCGCCGAGGGCGTCAACCAGGCCGGCATGGCCAAGGTCACGGCGGGCATGCCCGAGTACAAGCGCGGCGAGACGGGGCTGGACCCGGCTGCTGTGGCAAAGTACTGCGTCTTCTTGACGGATAAGGATATCGCGTCGTCGGCGAACGGGAGCTGTGTCGTTCTCAACAGGAACTGGCCGCACGCCTGAGCCTGGCTTCTCTTCGTTGAGGTTTGAGGAAGAAGGGGGATCGCGGATGGGAAAAGAGCCACGAGCATTGCTCATAAGCTTGTGATTGATGAGATGGCAGAGCAGCTTGAAGTAACCTAGATATAGGAAAGATACCTTATGAATGTTATTTATGATTACCAAACACCATCATCTGTGCTGGATCAATTGGCGTGTCATCGAGACTGTTAGGGCTTCGACTCAAGTGTTTGGTCAAGCAAAAAAGTCTGGTGGTGCTGTTCGCTCAGGCAGACTTCAATCACATTGGGACCATGCGTGACGATCAAAATCACTTCAGAAGCGAGTACCCATGGTAAAAAGGTCAAAAAGAACGCGACCCTTCCAAGGACAAAATAGAAGATGCGGCCAGTGTGGATTGAACACACGACCTTCAGATTAAGTGATTGAAGTTGACTTCAGTCTGACGCTCTCCCAACTGAGCTATGTCCGCCACGATCTTCGAGAAAGCGGGGCTGTCTGAGAGGTTAGGTTGTCTTCCGCAGCGGGGCGCGCTCGCCGTCCGCGAAATTTCTGCCTTCGGAGACATCATTGTCAAATTCGATTGGCCCTGATATGTCGTGAGAATGTGAAAACAACACGAAGTCCGAAAGAAACAAAGCCAAAAATGCTTTTGCCAGTGCGGTACAACACAAAGACTTTGAAAAAGGTTCGAAAAAGGGTAAGGGGAGTAAATGGCACCAAGAATTGACGGTAACCACCCATCTGAGCTTCTAGGCCACTTCCATGGTCAACCTTATTCTAAACGGAATAACAGCTGGTCAGGCGACGCAACCTCCCATCTGGAAAATATCACCGTCAGAAAGTGAGCAACAGTTGCGGGAATTCCAACTTTGTCTCGAGAGAGCCTATAACCATCCTGGAACCGGCGGGTAGACGATCGTCTACTATCCCGACTAGAAAGGCATCTTAGTGGAATACGGGGGATTCTATCCGTATGAGCTGCCTTTTGCTACCTCTCGTAAGCTTCGTCTTAAACCACTTCCTATCTCTGCAGTTCCATTTGCTAAGATGATTTTCCCAGTATGAGACTGAAATATTACCGTAATCAGATGAAGAAACTCCACGCTTGATGCACATACCAGTATCCCTGCTTCAAACCCAGTACCCACGATGGAAAGCCACTCACCCATCCCCTGGCAAAAGACCAATCCTCTTATCCCGTTCGTCCCTAAGATGCTTATCCTCTCCCTCCAACAACATCTTCTCCTCCACAAACGCAGCGTCACCAGCCCGGAACTTTTCCCTCATTACCTCATCCTCCGTCATTATATCGGACCCAGGCTCTAGAGGCTGTAATGGCAGCCGCAGTGGCGAAGACGACGTCTCCCGGGCAGGCGAGACCATCACCTCAGGCGGCCACAATATCCGCCTCGCCTCATCCTCGCTCAACACCTCGCCCTCGCCTTCTGAATTCTCATCAAACGCAGAAACGTCGCCGCCGCCTCCCCCACGCCCAGGTCCAGGCGACGAAGGAACCGCCAAGAATACATCCGTAACAGTCTCATCCTGCGTTCGAACCAGCCGGCCATCCAAACCATCGTCAGAGACAACATGTTGAACGGCCTCCGCCTCCGCCTTCATAGCGTCAGCATCCCCCTTGGGCACCTTATTCTCCCCCGCCGCGACGACATCCATAGAAGTCAACTTCATCAACGTCCTCAACCTCGCGTCCCCGACGAACCGCCCCATCAAGACCCCCTCGTTCTCCCGAAACGTCTCATAAAATCTCCGATTCACCAGCGCCGCCGCACGCAGGTCCTCCACACTCTCCACGCACCTCTCCAAAATCAACAACCGTACCGCGTCAGACCTCTCGAGGACCTTGCCCTGTTCCTGGTCCTGCTTTTGCCCCCGTTCCTGTTCCAGCAGCTCCTGGATTCCCTGCTGCCCAAGCTGCAGATCAACCTTCTTCCCGTCAGAAAAACTTCTCAACCCCCTATGTAAAACAGCCTGCGGCTGCGTAGACCGGTGCCGCGATAGCCCCCACCCGTGAGCCCGTCCACTGACATCATGCAACGTCAACCCAGACACGCTATTGTAAATATCATTAATCGCGGCGCGGAACGCCGGTGCGGGATCGCATACCCCGCCCATGTGAACCGCCAGCGGCGGACTGGCAATGGTCCGCAACAGATCGACGAGCTGTGCCAGACTTCGACGAGGTGGTGAGTATTGCTGCTGCTGGGAGCCAGCTGCCAGGTGTCCGAGAACCGACGAGTTCATGATGGTGGGCAGAAGCTCGAGCTCGCCGTAAACGAGCATCAGCCAACCCAGATTCGTCGCGTCGCAGCTGTGACTTCCCTTGGGACACCTGGGCGTGCTGGTGAACATCAAGGCCGGGTTGGCAGACGTATTCGTCGCGGGCGTGGACGCTACCTCAACGGAAGACGAATCCGAGCCCGGTGGCGGAACAGCACGACAAGGCGGCCTCAAATACTCCCGAATCGTACTCACGCAACACTCCTCAACCTGCGCCATCTTCGCCCCCCTCACCCCCCAAATCTTCTCCTTGATCCTCCTCGGCCACGCCACGTGCATCCCCTCCAACTCGTCCTCGTCCACAAGATTCAAAATCACCGTCTTGGACATGCGCGTA